TTGTAAAAAAAATATAATATATATATATATATATAACACCAAAACCTTACTTTGGCCCCATGCATGGTAGATATGCATAATATGTACGTATTTTCCCTGTCTTGAATCCTCCCCTTTCATCAAAACAAAAAAATAGATATGATTTCAACAATGATACTAATATGGTGAAAATATTAAAGTTTATAAATTAAATTAAGACTAAATGCTTGTTTTAGAATTTTGCATTTATTGAATTTTTTATATTAAAATCCAATCTATTATTTTGTTTAAATTACGTTGTAACTTTTGAATTTTATTTATTTAAAGAAAATAAATGACCAAAACAAAAACAAGTAATACGACTAATTAATAGTTTCTATATGAAGGTAATCCTTAATAAATATAGATTTGAATCCCCTAATTCTATTAATAGTAATTTACAAATTTTTGTCATCAATTTTTCTTAAATGGATAAAAACGAAAATGTTGTATCCTATTTTGAATAAAATAATATGTTCGATCTTGAGAGGAAAATTTTACCAAAAAAATTATATTTTAAAATGAGCATTTAACTTTAAATTAAATATGCCCCTGTTAGTGTATAAAAATTTTCAATTCGAAGTATTAATTGATTATAATAAAGTAATATAAAGTTCAAATGATCTCCACTATCAAGAGGGTTCAGCTTATACTATATTTATTACTCTATAAGGCAGGTCAAAACGTTTTATATTTATTTACTATATAAAGCACATTTATATACTTCAAAATCAGCTTTCGTAAACTCCTTCTTGCCTTTAGGCAGGGACTAGGGCAAATCTTTTTGTCCGTTCCAACCCTAATTAATTAACTTAATCACATTTTAATTGATATCTTTAACTCAAAATCACTTTGCCATGCTCTCGAGTTATAGTCTTTGATATTTGCAAATATTTTGTCAATAATTCTTTTCGGGAAATCATTTTAAGATATACAAATATATATATATATATATTGCAGATATTACATTTTAAATATATGTTGTAGTTATTTAAATAATCTCTTGCATTATCATAGTCTATCAGTTAGTGATCATATATACATGGAACGAACTCTGGCAAAATAGAAAAAAAAAATTCAAGCATCTACTTAATATGTTTAGAATAATTGGCTTGCTGGAAACCTCCACACCTTACATTTCTATAAATGAAGGAGGACCATGCATTGAGGGTCGCATGTCTTTGTGATTCGTTGACTGTTCTTGCTGGAAAAAAAGCTTCCATAGAATTCTCATGCAATGCATACCCAAAAAAGGCGATTAATTAGACTCAACCAAACCAATAAATAAGCAGCAAATGCACTTTTTTTTTTTCCTTTCAAATTCAGACTCGTCGGCCTTCTCCAACGTACGAATGGTTGGGATGGAGGGCGGCCTGTGGGGTAGCTGAGAATCAATGATCGTCTTTACTCTTTAGCAACGCTTAAAGTCCGTTCAACTAAGATTCATATGTTTTGTTTTCTGACCATACTGTGAATCTCGTACTATATCTATGAATTTTGACTATTACCCAATGTTTTGACTTGAAAATAATGTACACTTTGATTCTTTGAAGCTGCAACCTTTAATCTGGTTTTTCGGTTTGAATTTATTAAATTCGCATGTCGATCGGATCATTAAATCGTGGCTATAATTACATGCCGATGATTCATACTATATCTTATCAAAACCCTGTTGGTGGTAAAATCTTTTGAATTCAACCCTCCTTTCCAATTGACGAGATATGGAGAATTGCTTAAGTAATTTCCCAGTTGACCTTGAGTTTGCATGGAAAGCAAGTACGTAGACCATGCGTTAGAAAAATTTTATTGTGTTGCTTTCCAATTTGCTCCTCAAAAGCAAGCAAGGGCTTTGATTGTCAAATGCATACCAAATTCGCTACCTGTTAACATAAAGTCTTATTTTAGTTGGAAAGATAGCGAATCCTAGAACCTTTTATGTTAATTAACATTATTTTATTTTACTCTGATTTTAATCTATATTCTTAATTATTGTACATTCATTTTCATTCATCAAAAAACAAAAAAAATATTAACATACTAAAAAAAATTTTGAAGTTACAATATAAAATTAGATTTGTGAAGGTAGCTTATATATGTTACTGTAACTATATATTATTGAATTTTTCTTAAAATTTGAGAAAGAGGAATTCAAACACACCAATCACTAAATTATGTGCTACAGTATTATCTTAACAAATTTTATAGGTTCACGTCTAAACAATTCTCTCTCTCTCTCTCTCTCTCTCTTACTTAATTAAATGACAACAAGGAGGAACCAATTATTACTTGAACTCTCAAAGTTTTGAGTAGACCAAGTTTAGGGTTCCAAAAGTATCAAATTTCCAAAATATGATTAAGGCTGTACTGCTGAATTCTGATTCTACTGACATGAAACATAGTATAATTAGTCAATATGGCCTCATCTTTCTTGTAGTTTTAGGCATGCATGTTACAAATTTATACAGCTTATAATAAAAAGAAAAGGCAGTTGCCCCATTGATGAAAATTTAGTGGGTAGTTTACTTATAGAAATAAATAATTATTATATAATAATCGATTTATAGGTTGACATTTCATCCTGATTTTCACACATAATTATCAAGTTTTGATTGGGATGTGATCATGAGTTGATTCAAATTTGGGTTGAAATCAAGGTATGTTACGAAAATCATCCAAAAGTCAATATTACTCTGTGAGAGAACAAAAATAGTATTTGATATCTTAATAAAGAAATCATGAATATCAATTGTTGGGGATTTCTTTAAGTGGGGAAAACAATATGCACGAATAACATGCAAGTGAAGCTTTGTCAGAATACATTGTTATATTTATTTATTTATTTATTTATAGTAGCTTATATTAGACAAAATAGTATTATTCTTCTGCTAGCAACATTAATCACAATAGATGGGTTCCTTTGCATTTTGCTTAATGTTTTATTTGTTTCAGACGTAAGTGAGAGATGTCGTAATTAAGAATGAATACAAACAAAAGCAAAGTTGGAATAGTTCTTTAACATTAATCCCTGATCATTGCTTGTTTAAGTGGAATACAAAAAAATAAAGGTCAAGTATCCTGCGAACTGTTTACAATTTCACGCCCACAAATTTGATCTCTTTTAATTAGTCTATGTCTACACTGTAAATTGCCATTGAAAATCCAATGAATGTTTGACTTTACCCTAAAGCTCCACCTTCTTCGCCATCATCATTACATATCTTTATCCACTTTGCAATTATTTTCTTCAATCTGGCAATGATGTTCTTATCATATTCGTTAAATTCTCCTCTTTTTTGATTTGTGAAGGCAACTAGTGATGAACTTTACATGATTTCTTTAACATAACAGCTTGAAATGGTCATATAAAGCAAGTTGCAAATTTAAGATAGGAAAAACTTGGGGCAGAAAAGTCTAATAGAGTTGTGTACGCCAAAGGCGAGAAGGTATTAATTGAAGCCATTTTTACAAAAGAAATGTGCAGCTGCCAATGTCATCTCAAACCAAAACTTATCCACTCATTTACTTAATTAAAAACCCTCCATGCCATGACTGAGAGATATATGCCTGACTCCAAGGTGGCTCATGTTGTAATCTTGATTGTCATTTTACAAAAAATTAATATATAAGTAATGTCTATATATTGGAAATTGATGATGATGTATAATTAATTTATACTGAACTTAGAATGATCAATGATTTAATAACAGAAATAATAATGACTGCTAAGATTTAATGCATTAGCTATAGAATTTTTCTCCTCAATCTACAACTCTTTAAAGTGTGAGATTCTTAATATTTTTTAAATAGGAAAAAAGATTTAACTTTATTTTTATATAGTGGATTTTTTGTTCCACCCATCATACGATTTAGAGTTTTTTTATAGAAGTTTATACTAATAAGCCCACATTTAACATTGGAGTCTAACTTTTTTTTATTAGATCATATTGTGAATTATAATATTGTGTCTTTATTAAGACTAAATTAACTTAGTCCAATTTTAGTAAAAGGCAAAGTAAATTAAATAATGTAATTCTACACTTTAATTATTTAGGAAAATCTAACAACCTCTCACTTGAACTGCATTATTTAATTTCAAATTTTGAAAAAAATGTTTTTAAAAACAACTCATAAACTAGGACAATTGAAAACTTTATGAACTCAATTTAAAAACAAAATTTGTCTTACCGTTCTATCCAATAAACTTTTGTGATATTGATACATGAACTCAATGTATTAGTGTAACAATGAACAACAACACTTTCTTGATGATCTATTTCTTGTGTTATATTCATTTACTATCACTTTAATTTCTACCTTAAGGTGTAATGCAAACCCAACATTTGACCAAAAAAATAAAGAAAATAAATCAAATAATTTGTTGAAGATAAAACCAATATTTAAAATATGAAAAAAAATTGAATAAAAAATAATCATACCGCTTTTAAGTGTGGGTATTAGAGCTTTATATATAACTACCATACTTAATGTCTAATTGGATGTGTGAAAAAAAAAAAAAAAAGAGAGAGCGACCAATATTTAAAATATTGAATTAAGAAAAAAAACTATAAGTCAACATATAATTTGTAAGGCAAGATAATTTAAAAAATAAAAAAGGTCTAAGCTAACTCATAATGAAAAGGGGAGAGCCAATGGCCAAAGGTGGCATTCACATCTCTTAGAAAGCTACTATTTATTTATTGTTAATTAATACAACAATAAACTTCCCATCTTCTCACGTTTAAGTTAATTTGTAACGCTGAAACGAGAACTCGTTTTTGACTGAAGAAGTCAGAGACTGTGGGATCCCAAATGATACAAGGTAAATTACAGGGCCAACCCAGAGCTTACCAGGTAAGATTGTTTCTTCCCCTTTTCGGAGTAATGAAAAGCAGGACAACCTGCTACAACAGCAAACCAAGGGGCCGCTAATTGACAGCAGAGAACAAGAACGAAACAAAGAAGACAACAGAAAAGGAAAGGCATAGAAAACTCCACTAACAACAGTTCCAGCAGATCAAATAAAAGAAAGAAGCTGCCAACAAAGAACTACAAAGAACACAACAGACCAGCAGCCACAATAAGAAGCAAAATCAACCACATGACTTTCAACTAATGTCATTTTGGAAAAAAGAGATCTTCCCATTTTAGATCTCCTGGCTACATCATCTGCTTTTTATCAGCTCATCTTTAAACATAACCTCCTACCAGTTTGGAAGAGACTGTAGAAGTAACCAGAGGTTCCAACAATCTTCTGAGCTTTGTTTAGGAAAACTTGCCTTCTTCCTTTTTGATCTCAGATATACTCCACTGGATTCATACAACCTCCTTACCATTTGGATAGGAATTAGCGTAGTTATCATCTGCACTACAGAACTCCATTAGAGATAAGCCCCCCTCTGTCAGTCAATCAAATCCAATCCAATAATCATTATTAACTAGTTCACATGTTGGTTAACCATGCTCTGAAACACAAGAAATCTAATCGTTGGCTTGTCAATTTATTGATCATGCCTTGAAAAAGTTCAACAAAAGATTTATGGTATTGCCTTTCACCATTTAAAAGATACACACATACTGCAACTCCTTAGAGCTCTACCTTGTCTCTCTCATCTGGCTTCCAGCATTTGCCAAACAATACATGTTGCAACATGTTAGAACTCTACCTTGTTCCCTCCTCCTTGCATTTGTTCACCTAACATTAATGAGTTTCAATATCTTTCAGCTAAAAAAATGGAAGGGCAAACTGATTTCTGCAAACTTTTCACATCCCTTGTCTGATGTCTCCGGCATGCTGACTAAATGCATTAACTTCACTATCTGAAATTCTCACCTGAATATAATGAACATCAACTCTAGAGTGACAAATTCAGATATCTGCTTCACTGTATTCTTGACCATTCCTGACTAATGCTTAAACCATAGAGATTAAAATCATCAATCATGGAACTGTATTGCAAACTACAAAGAATTATACATGAAGACAGGAAAACAAACCTTCGGTATATATTTGGCACAGAACAAAATTAACAAAGTTCATCAGATATTTCAACCAAGAATGATTAAAACTGATCATCAGGCACAAACCCCCTTTGCATCATTTCATCATGAAACCGAAATGCCTCCTTTAAGTTGTCCTGGGTGACATGTCCATTTATGAGTGATGTATATGTAGACCTATCAGGATCTATGCCTTTCTCAATCATCTTCCTTAATACCATTTCAGCTTCTAGCATTCTACCCTGTCTACAAAACCCATTCAAGATTACATTGTATGTAATAACATCAGGCAAAAGCCCTTGATTCTCCATCTCGTTAATCCAAACAAAAGCTTTGTCCATATTCTCTTCTTTGACAAATCCATTGATAAGAGTATTATATGTGATGCTATCAGGAATAATTCCTTCTGATGTCATCTTGGATAAAAACTCGTCAGCCCTCGATGCATCACCTGATCGACAATAGCCCTTGATGATACTGTTACAAGTAACAAGAGTGGGCTTAATACCATTCCTAACCATTTCATCCCACACTCTGAATGCTTCTGAAACATGACCTATGCTGCAAAAACCATTTATCAGAGTTCCATAAGAAATGTGATTAGGAAGAATCTTTCTAGATATCATGCCAACCCAAAGCTGCTTGGCTTTCTCCATTTCACCTACCTTGCAAAACCCGTCAATTAAGGTGTTGTATGTCACAATGTCAGGCTTAATATTCCTTTGAGTCATTTCATCAAACAAACTTAGTGCCTTATTCATATTTCCATCCTTACAATGTCCATGAATGAGTGTTGTGAAAGTGTAAAAGTCAGGAAAGACACCCCTTTCTGCCATCTCATGCAATAGATTGTCTGCTTCGGTGAGCAACTTCTCCCTGCACAGCCCATTCAAAATGGCATTGTAAGTAACAACATCCATACTACATCCCTGCTCTAGCATTTCATTCCTCACCTTTAAAGCCTCTGACATGATACCATTCCTGCAATACCCATCTATAAGAATGGTATAAATCACATTATCTGGAACCAAGCCAGCTCTCTTCATATTATTAAAATACATTAAAGCCTGATCAATATGTCCATTTCTAGCAAACACCCCAATAAGAGAACTAAAGCTAATCAAATCAGGAACAAAACCTCGATGCAACATTTCATTGAAAATATCTTCAGCTTCTGATATATTATTTTTTCTACAACTCTCAACAAGCAATGTGTTATAAGTAGCAGTATCAGGACTCAACCCTATCCGCAACATCTCATCCAAAACTTCCTTCGCTTTTTCAAAATTTCCTCTCTTACACAACCCATATACAATTGAATTATAAGTAAAAAGACCCGGCTTCAACCCTTTATCTGGCATCGAGTTCATCAACTCAAATGCTTCTTCCAAATGCCCTTCATGGCAATATGCATTAATTATTGTATTGTATGTCACAATATCAGCATAAACCCCCTTCTCTTTCATTTCTGATAAGAACGACTTAACACTACTGATCTTGCTATCCTTACACAAAGCATTAACCATAATATTTAATGTATAAGCATTTACTTTAACCCCAGCTCTAACAACTTCCCTGTACACGTCCCAAGCCAAAGCAACCCATTCAATCTTCACTAACCCACCAAGAAGACTATTACAAGCATTAATAGAAATACAAAAACCTTTTCTTCTCAAAATCCTAAACACCTCGGATCCTTCTCTTAACTTCCTAGCTTGCACATAAGTCCTAATTAACAAATCAAAAACTGAATCATTCGACCCGAAATTCCCACGTGTCGAAACTAAAGACTCCACGATTTCAACACGCGAAATCCCACTCTTCCTAATCATCCTAAGAATCAGAGCCTGCGCATCAGATAACCTTCTACATTTCACAAGAACATGAATCATTGCACTTAAGGACATGGAAGAATGCTTAAAATTTGAGCAGTTAACTACAAGAAAATCAACAAATCTTTGACCCAACTGCAAATTATCACGGCAATGCGAAAGAACCTCAGCTACAATTAATGGGTTTAATCGAAATCGGTAGTTACGCAAAGAATTCATATTACCTTGCTTTAAACTAAACAGAATCTTCTCCACCATGAAAGAATCTGGTGCCCCATTTGATAGGGTTTGAAGAGTTCTAGCATCAAGATTATGGTAATGGTTTTGATTGGGAAGGGAAGAGAGGGGAAGAAATTGGCGGGGCCAGAGAGTTTTGAGAGGGATATTTCGCAAAAGGAGCCATTGAACTGCCATTTTTTGAGAAACGGAGCGGTTACTGGGTTAGTTAAACGTTGCTGCAGGAGGAACGAGAAGAATCCTTTATTGATTCCCGCAAGGAAAGGTAAAGGGGTAGATCATATATGAATAAGGAAGACACACAACAAGGAGCTTCCAATATGATGCTCAATGACAAATAACAGTGAAAACATCTATGTGAGAATTAAACAATTATAAATATTAAAAAAATGGGTAGCCTAAGAAGAATATGGAGAATCAAAATAAAAAATTTAAGATAAATTAGGAAGAATAGTAAAATAAATATTATTTTTAAAAGCCAAAATTAAAATTTTAGGATTTTGAATTGATTGTTAAGTCTATCGAATTTTAAATTTATTTTTAATGAAATGATTTACTATCCTGCATCAAATATAATCTCTTAAATTAAACACATTAATTAGAGGATTCATGACATTTACCTACTATATCCACATTTGAAAGAGTTGGGTTATATAAATATATATATTGGTTTCTTTTTTATTACATGGTAGTTTGTTAAGTTTAAATTCGTGAATAAACAGAATTACATATTATTTGCAATAAAATAATTGAAATTTTTTTAATAACAAAACCATTAATTTCTTACCTTATCTACTCATTACAATTTTTAATTTATTAAATTTTTTTAGTTTTCCTATAATTTAACCAACTAAGGTGAATTTCTATATTAAGTCAATATCAATTGATTCGTAAAGCTAAATTCAAGCAGGATTTTATTAATAATATAAGCATATAATAAAATTCTTATGAATTAATTTACCAACAGTTATAACCAATGGTGGAGTTAAGATTTATATTTGGTGGCGAAAAGTTAAAAAGAATATTTATAAATATTTGACAATAGTATAACTTTAATTTATAAATATTTTTTTATAAATTATCCATTAAATAGTACAAATATTTAAATAAATTATACATTATTCCTTAATTATACTATCAATTTAATGTTTGACATTAAATTATACAATATTCTTTAATTATACTATCAATTTCAGTTATAACTTTAATGTTTGACAATAATATAAAACAACTTAGATAAAAAATATTTATATTAAAATTATACAAATAAATCTTGAAAATTATTCAAAAGAATCAATCTTAATAGTTTACTTAAAGAAATCAACTAGTATAATTATAAATAATTTAATAGTAACAATAATCTCAATTTCTAGGTAAACTTAATAACAAACAAAAAATAACAAATATAATAACAAAAATCTGAATGAGAAGCCATTCTTTAAAAATATTAAGGTCAATAAACAATTCAATGGAGAAGTAATTCTCTAAAATTAATTACAAATATTAAATATAATATTAATAAATAATTCAACGAGAAAGCAATTTTTGAATAAAAAACTTAATTGTTCACAAAAATCTAAGAAAAAAAAAGTGCAAATAATTTGTAGAAAAATAATTAAATAATTTTTAAATAAATAAAAAATAACTAACCTTAGATGTTTAATCAAATTGTTTTCAATAACGAATAGTTAAGACTGTAAATCCTAAATCAAAATTATCAAGTAAAAATTATTAAATAAAAAAATTTAAAGTTAAAAATATTAAAATTAAAATATGTAACTAAACTAATTTTTTTAATTATCGTGACATAAAAATTGAGTTATTGACTAAAAATTTTTTATACAAAGAATGCTCACAAGAGAAAAATGTAAAAAAATAATTTTTTTTGTTTCTACCGTATTTGGTAAAAAAATAAAAGAGTAAGTAGTGATTGTGAGGTTTTGGAGTAATGGGATTTGAAAATAATTCTCTTGTAATTGGTTTTATTATTCTTTTTAAAAATGCAATTAGTTTTGTTTTAGTTTTATTAAAATTAGTTGTTGATTAATTATTGTATGATGTTTCACTACACAAAAAATTATTATAAGAGTAAAATTATAAAATTTCTAAAACATAAAAATATGTTAGAAATATTTTAAAGTTTTTGTAAGAATAAAATTAGAAAATTTTTAAAAAGTTATAAAAATTTAAAAATTATTGAAAGAGTAATGTTACAAAATTTTTAAAATATATAAATAATTATAAAAATTTAAAAATTACTGAAGAGGCGGGGCTCCCACTAGCCCCGCCTCCCCCCCGCCCTTGGTCAGAACTTGAATTTTCTTTTTACAATAATGATAGATTTCGAAAATGAAAATCGATATTCACACATTCATTGTTGAAGGTTTAATTTTTTTAAATTTTTTGAAAAAAATAAAAAAACGAAATTTTTCCCTAAAGTCAAACGTGTTAGGGATGCAGATATTTTGTAAGATGACGTGGCAAAAACTGATTGGAGATAGGCACCAAATTGGACGTGGCTTATTTAAAAAAACATAACCAACCCAAATCTGTGAACTTGTTTATGACCTGATGCGGTGCATTTTCACCCGGGATTTCTCTAAAATTAACATAAACCCGCACAGGTAACAGCACTGTACCAATTCCACTACCCAAAACCCAAGCATCTCCCTCCACGTGTAAAGCAGTTTATTCAAAAATTCCCTTCGTCAAAATTTTCCGAACACATCTCCTTTCCTATTGGCAGTCACAACATTCAAAATGACAGCAGCCGCAACTACATATGGGCAACAGTGTTAATACAAAATTAACGCCAGCTTTGACCTTTTGTAAAACCCTATCTCTGACAAAAA